GCGCCAGTGTGTGTGTGCGCCAGTGTGTGTGTGCGCCAGTGTGTGTGTGCGCCAGTGTGTGTGTGCGCCAGTGTGTGTGTGCGCCAGTGTGTGTGCCATATTAGGGCTTAAATTCAGAACTCAGGCCCTAAGCTTTTTCACTCAAGGCTGGCATTGTATCACTTGAGCCACAGCTTCTATTCTGAATAAGAGTCTTGCAGATTTGTCTAATTGAACTAACTTCAAACCAGGATCTTCAAATCTCAGCCTCCTGAGTATCAAGGATTATAGATGTGAGCCACTGAAAACTGATTTGAAATATTCCCCCCCACAATAAATTTGTAAACTTGACTCTTCACAGTTATAATAGTTAATCAAATTTTACTTTTATAGGAAAAAGTAATTCATATCTTAGTGATTTTCCAGGTTTAATTTCTATAACTGTATCTTGGTTATTTTTGTGCGTAGTTATTTTCTAGAGGCCTAAATAGATTCTTAACTTCTTCAAACCATTCTTGTTACTCTAGATGTTCATACACAGTGAGGCCAAAGGGGGGTATTATCAGGAAAGGCAAAGACACAATGTCTGTGTGCATCTGATCATATAAAATAATAATTACTGAAATGAACTCCGGGAAATAAAAACAAGACTTTTTTTTCTTTGCTACTGTTTTTATTTTCTTTTTGTTCCTTTATCTGTCTTTGGGAGGACAAGTGGAGGGCACAGAAATGGAGGGACAAAGCGTGAATAAATGCAGCAGTGATCCTCAGTAGGCACTCTGTTGAAAATGACCTATAAACTTGTAAGTAGGGACAGGAGAGAGACTGGGAGAATGTGAGGGAAGGGGTGACATTTTCCAAGAAGAAATGTACTTATTACCTGATTTGTATAACTGTAATCCTTCTGCAGAACAATAAAAAATAAGCCGGGTGGGCTAGGAAGGTGGCTCATTGGTAGAGTACTTGCCTTGCATGCATGAGGCCCTGGGTTCGATTCCTCAGCACCACATAAACCGAAAAAGCCAGAAGTGGAGCTATGGCTCAAGTGGTAGAGCACTTATCTTGAAATGAAGTGCCCAACCCAGAGTTCAAGCCCCACGACCAATCAAAAGCAAAGAACAATAAAAAATAATAACTTTTTTAAAGTTTGTGTTAGCTAAATATGGATAGATGGTGATACCTAATATGAAAGTTAAAGGAGTAATTTGCTACAGTAAGTTATAGTTTAATCAGGTTTAATGAAGATTGTAATTCAGTTAGAAATGACAGTGTTAGGCTAGCGAGAAGAGGATTGGTGAGTGAATACAGTCACAGTTCTCAGTGTAGATGCACAAAAATGTAACTAGGAAACTTGATGAGTTGGTAGGGGTTGGATAGATGGGATTGTGGGAGAAAAATAGGAATGACTCTACTCTTCAAAAATGCATTATACACATAGATGGACATGTGAAATTGAAACCACCTTGTGCAGTATTTGAAGATAAGTTTTTTTTAAAAAAAACAAAAAGAAATGACAGTGTTTCATGGTGATGTAAACAGTTACATAGATGTGACATGTTTTTATATTGCAGGTAACCCTTTATCATCTATTAAAGTTGTTCCAATCAGATACCAATGCAATGCTGGGGAAAAAGACAGTGGTTTCAGAATTTTATGATGAAATGGTAAGATTCTATAGTGCATGTTTTGAAAGCATTTCAAGTTGGAGAATTTTGAAGTTATTAGGCTTTTTTTTTTAATCTCAAGATATTTCAAGACCCAACAGCAATGATGCAGCAGTTACTAACAACGTCTCGCCAGCTAACATTAGGAGCCTATAAGCATGAAACTGAATGTAAGTACCATGTATTCTCAAATCTGAAAGGTAAGAGCATGCCTAGCATGTCAGCAAAGAAGAGTGAGCAGGGGAAAGAGAAAAGACATCAGCCAAGTTAATAGAACACTCTGGTCATATGGAGACTTGTGGGTAACTTTGAGGAATTAAGATTATTAGATTGAATGAGATGTAAGTCATTTGAGTATTAAGCAGAGGTGTGAACATCAGACCAGCATTTTCAAACAATCACCCTGACTGCTGTGTGAGAATAGACTATAACGCAGAATAGTTGGGGGGATGTTCCAGTAATGCAGTTGTAACATGTGTCTGGACCAGAGTATAGGCAGCAGTGAGAAAGGGGCAGACCCTCCCTATTTTAGAATTTGCTAACAGTAAGCCAGGTGCCAGTGGCTCACACCTGTAATCCTAGCTACTCAGGAGGCTGAGATCTGAGGATCACGGTTCAAAGCCAGCCTGGGCAGGAAAGACCGTGAGACTCTTACCTCCAATAAACCACCAGAAAACTAGAAGTGGCACTGTGGCTCAAGTGGTAGTGCGTTTGCCTTGAGCTGAAGCACTCAAGGATAGCGCCCATGCCCAGAGTTCAAGCCCCACAAATGATTAAAAAAATAATAATAATAATTTGTGTTAAAAATATGTTACAAAAAGCAAGCTAATAACAATGAAGAAAATGTTTATTTCCTGCATATTTTTTAGGTGCTGAATGTTTTCCATGTAATTCACTTACTCCACATACTTTTAAAAATACCTCATTTTTAACTGGATCATATAGAAAAAAAAACTGAGGGACATTGAGAGTTGTCCACATTTTCCAACTTACTGAATTTGGCTAATAAGAGCCAGGGGTATGTTTGTACTTAGATCTTTCTGATTAAAAAACAATTTTCACCATTTTGCCTCTGATTAGTGACCATCTTGTTAGTTTGTAAAATGTCATTGTACTTCAGAAATAATTACCTAAAGTGGCCACAAGATGGTGATGTTGGATGCAAGCAGGCATTTTTCTTTGTAAAACACTAGCCAATTTGCATATTTGTATCATATTTTACAGAAATGAGATTTTCTTGAGTGCTTTTTTACGTACCCAGCTAGCATGTTTGCTTTTTTTTCTGTGCCAAGGATTGAATCCAGAGCCTCGTACATGGTAGGCAGGTGCGCTACCAGCCTCCAGAAATTTGCAAGTATAGTTCAATGTTCCTTTGTCCTCCTAAGTCCTCATAATAGTTGATAGGGGATTTTATTTACCAGACAGTATTGTTGGTATTTCATATGAAATCTTCTCAAGAAATAGTATGGGGTATATGCTGTTGAAATTTCTGTTTCGTAAGTGTTGAAATGATAGTGTAAGGTTGAAATAACCTAGAGAGTGTCAGTTAATAAGTAGTAGATCTAGAACTCAACTCTTGACTGATACTTTTGAAAAAAGGGCATGGGTTTATTTGCATAGTGTCACTTTGTTTATATAAGTTAGAAATAATTTTAGTTAGCTTTTTCATTGGCTCATGTCTTTTGAGTTTGTATAACCCTCTATCTCCAAAGTACTATGTATATACATAAAGAAAAAAAAAGAATTTCTCAAACCTTAACTGTGAGTTTGTGGCCAGAATTTCATTCTTAGTTGTAAGAACAGCTTACATCTTCTGTTGGAAATTTAGACATTCTAAAGTTAGGCCTTCTCCCACCCACCTGTATATATCTTACCTTGTCTACAGTTCATCCCAGGAGCACGGCTTAAGGAAATGCTCCTTTTATTACTCCATGATATAGCTTATAAATGTGAGAAAGGCTGGGCACTGGTGGCTTATACCTGTAATCTTAGCTACATGGGAGGCTGAGATCTGAGGATCATGGTTCAGTCAGCCCAGGCAGGAAAGTCTGTGAGACGCTTATCTCCAGTTACCCACCAGAAAACCAGAAGTGGTGCTGTGATGCAAGGTGATGGAGCATAACCTTAAGCAAAAATTGCTCAGGGACAGTATCCAGGCCCGGAGTTGAAGCCCCACTAACGACAAAAGAGAAAAGAGAAAAATTAAATAATTCATCAGAAGTATTTGTCTTCCTTAGTTGCAGAACTAGAAGTGAAAACCAGAGAAAAACTAGAAGCTGCCAAGAAAAAAACAAGCTTTGAAATTGCAGAGCTTAAGGAACGGTTAAAAGCAAGTCGTGAAACTATAAATTGTTTGAAAAATGAAATCAGGAAACTTGAAGAAGACGATCAGACAAAAGACATATAAACAATTCTGAAGCGAACTTGGTGTAATCTAAACTGAAAATAAGGTAGACATTAATGATTGAAGAAATGGACTTAATGCAAATGCTATGGTGTTTCTTAAAGAGGAACTACATAAATAGTTGTCAACCATGGATTTTTCCAGCAGTGGAGTCAAAAGTATTCGTACTGTTCAAGCAATATTTAATAGAAAATAGATGTATATAATAAGAATGGATGCTTTGTAGGCATTTAATGGAAATTTCATGATATTGAGCACAATTTTTTAAAAATTTTTATTGGAATGTATATGAAGCATATTTTTCTTTTAATAGGCATCAAACATTTCTTTGTAAAATGTAACTTGTATAAATTTTGTACTTCCAATTAGTGTGTATATTTAATTTCTTCTTAATCTTGTCAGCCCCCATTCTACCTCATTTGTATAAGTTGATGTGCCCCATAAAGGTTCAATAAATGTAGTTTATAGATCTGGTTTCTGCCTATTTTTAAGCATCTTTGGTTTGTTTGCTTATTTCTGTCTTGTGGTATCTTTGGTACCTCTTTGAGGATTTTCTGGAACTCCATTAATAAATTAACATTTCTTCCTAGTATTGTGATATTATATCTTTATTCAAGAAAATACTTCATTTCTTTTTAAGTTGTGGCATTTATAAGCACTATGGCGGTGTGTGAAGGTCTCTGTAGTATAGAATTTCTTCCTAGATACTCTGGGACTTGAGATGGGCCTTTATCCCTGTGTCAGCCATCGTGCAGATTTCCCCTACCTTTCAGTTCAGTGTTTGCCAGGCCTAGAGGATAAGAGTCACCAGTGTAGGTTTGAGGCCAGCCTTAGGGAAAAGGGTAGAAATATGCTTGGAAATTTCACTTTTCAGCAAACCAAGCATCTGTAAGGTAAGATTTACTGTTATTGATACAGCCAAATTCCTATTGTCAAATTTTTGGTTTGTTTTCCTCTAGTTAATATTGTCAACTCATGTTCTCAAATAAATGAGAATTATTGCCTTTAGCTGATTTAATTATATTCATGAACTGAACCTCAAATCTCTTTACTCATTTTGCAGATGAGATGATGCCGTTATTTCTTACATTATTGAGATCACTGTCATTCAGTTAACTCTAAACTTCTCCTTTTCCAAGTTTCTTTCTTCTCACCAATCCTGCTTTATTTCTTCTCTCGTAATGTTCTCTTTTTGTCGTTTTAAATTCCAATTTATACTATGTACTACAGAAAATTATAATTAGTGTAAGACTTTATTGAACTTCAGTTTGCCCTGGTGATTTGAATGCTACCCATCTCATGAAATTCTGCTTATGAGTGAATAAAGTAGCACATGTAAAGCACTTGAATTGTAGGACCGAAGAAGGTAACATTCTGTCTACTTGCAAAGAATCCTCAACAAAGTTCTAGCAAACCAAGTCCAATCACATATGAAATGAATTAAGTGATTCCATTGTCAAGGGATATAAGACTCAACATATAAATCCAGTCAATATAATGTACTATTATGGATTTAAAAATTCATGTTGGAGTTCAAAAACAGCAATACCTCCAAATGTGACTGAATTTGGAGTATCCTTAAAGTGGTAATTAATAAAAGAGCCACAAGGAGGAGCCCTCATTCAATTTCACTGAAACGCACAGTAGAGCACCAAAGACCACAATGAATACAGAAAGAAAGGCACAGCTTTTTTTGATAAACGAATCATGTCCAAACCTTGATCTCAGAATCTAGCCAGAAGAATTGTAAAAAAAAAAATAATATATATTGACTGAACCACCCTGTATGTGATAGTTGCTACAGCCTTAGAAAACGAATATGTACATCATCATAAAGTAGAATACAGGAGAAAAAGAAAACTGTGGTCTTCTGAATAGGTGTAGAAAAGAACATCCAGCTGGAAACTGGTGGCTCATGCCTGTAGTCCTAGCTGCTTAAGAGGCTGAGATCTGAGTATGATGCTTCAGAGCCAACTAGGCATGAAAGTCCAATTAAGCACCAAAAAAGCCAGAAGTGGAACTGTGGCTTAGGTGGTAGAGTGCTAGGCTTGAGCAAAAAAGAATCTCAGTGTTCAGGCCCTGAGATCAAGCCCCAGGACTTGAACACACACACAAAAATAGCCAGTACCTTATTATGATAACACTCAACAAGGGCTGGGAAGGTGGCTCAGTGGTAGAGCGCTTGCCTTGCATGCCTGAGGCCCTGGGTTCGATTCCTCAGCACCACATAAGCAAAAAAGAAAAAAGCTGGCAGTGGCACTGTGGCTCAAGTGGTAGAGTGCTAGCCTTGAACTGAAGAGCTGAGGGACAGCGCCCAGACCCAGAGTTCAGGCCCCACGACCGGGCCCCCACCACAAAAAAAAAAAAAAAAAAACGAGCTAATAATGTAAAGGAATTTCCTCAACCTGAAGCATCATACATACCCATTAATGCTGTATCCATGATTGCAGTGGGGGTTTTAGCCAGGGCAGTTAAGCAAGGTAAAGGAATAAAAGCCATCCAGATTAGAAAGGAAGAAGTAAAATAATCTCTAGTCACAGATTATCTGTCCTTGCCCGGAGAAAATCCTAAGGAACCTATCTACACACTTCTCAGACACACATGTATGTATGTGTGTGAGCACACATACAGTGTTAGATATAATAAATGGGCTCAGTAGTGCTGCAGGAGGTAAGATCTATATACAAAAGTCAATTTTCTATGTACTTGGAGTGGGCAATTTGAAAATAAAACAATTCCATTTATAATAGCAAAACATTTTTAGAAAGTAGTACTTAAAATGCAAGGAATCAGATGAAAAGTTGATAAATTCAACTTAAAACTGGTGCTTTAGTTGGGTGCCAATGGCTCAACCCTGTAAGCTTTTTTTGCCAGTCCTGGAGCTTGAACTCAGGGCCTGGGCACTGTCCCTGAGCTTCTTTTTGCTCAGAACTAGCACTCTACCACTTGAGTCACAGTGCCACTTCTGGCTTTTTTCTATGTATGTGGTACTGAGGAATCAAACGCAGGGCTTCATGCATGCTAGGCAAGAAGTCTACCACTAGACCACTTTCCCAGTCCTCAAGCCTATAATCTTAGCTACTCAGGAGGACTGAGGTTGGGAGCCAGCCCAGAGGAGAGCCAATGAGATTCTTATCTCCAATTACAAAGATAAAGCTAGAAGTGGAGCCGGCACTGGTGGCTCACGCCTGTAATCCTAGCTACTCAGGAGGCTGAGATCTGAGGATCGCGGTTCAAAGCCAGCCCGGGCAGGAGAGACAGTGAGACTCCTATCTCCAATAAACCACCAGAAAACCGGAAGTGGTACTGTAGCTCAAGTGGTAGAGCCCTCGCCTTGAGCTGAAGAGCTGAGGGACAGCGTCCAGGCCCAGAGTTCAAGCCCCACGGCTGACAAAAAAAAAAAAAAAAAAAGCTAGAAGTGGAATGTGGACTCAAAAACTGGGATGAAGACTGAAATCACTAGAGTGATCATAGCCATCATTTAAGAAAAAATTACTTTTAGCAATCAATAAGGTAAAAGATTGGCAAGAGACTATGAGGGTGTGGTCTTTTTTGAGGTACCAGAGGCCCAAGAAGAATTTCAATAGCACTGCATGAAAAAGCTGCTTCTCCATGGTCAGGCTTGAACTGACAAGTTTTCCTCAAGATGCTCCAGGCCACTGATAACTAATCATGACATTCTATCAAGACTACCTGTGCTAGGCCACAATCTGGACAGCACAGTACCTGACTGCCAAAGAAAGTGCTGAGAATCCACACAAAGAAGGGCTTTGTGGAGCATCCCTTTTTGTTGAAAAGATCCATTCAAGTGAAATCTAGGGCATTATGTCAACATACAACTGTCACCATCTCTGCTTTTCTAACCCAGAAAAAAGTGGTCTCCATAGTAAATAAACTTACCAAAACAGAGAAACCATAAATTGAAATCATGTAGCTATACATATGTATGCATGAATCCATGTCTCATAGGTATGTGAATCTCTTTTTATCACTATGATAAAATACTGAGAGAATCAACTTAAAAAGAGGCAAGGTTTATTTTGGCTCATAGTTTCAGTCTGTGGTCCCTCGGCCCTATTGCTACTGGCCTGTGGTAAGGAAGAACATCATGGCAGAGAGAACACATACTTGGTAGTTGCAGTTTTGTTCGTTTAACTCCTTTGATAAAGCCGTATCTCCCTAACATGGCTAACTGATCACAAGCGACACACCTGGTAATTACAGTTTATTCATATTTCTATGACAACAAACAGTACAGATAATAGTTATGATTGAAGGGAAGGGGAAAAAACGGGTGCTGGTGGCTCACACCTGTAATTCTAGATACTTAGAAGCCTGAAATCTGAGGATTGAAGTTCAAAGCCAGCCCAGGCAGGAAAGTCCATAAGACTCTTGTCTCCAATAAACTACTCAGAAAAAGCTGGAAGTGGTGCTGTGGCTCAAGTGGTAGAGTGCTAATAGAAAAAGCTGGAAGTGGTGCTGTGGCTCAAGTGGTAGAGTGCTAATAGAAAAAGCTGGAAGTGGTGCTGTGGCTCAAGTGGTAGAGTGCTAGTCCTGAGCACAAAGTCTCTCAGGGGGCAGCACCTAGGCCCTGAGTTCAAGCCCCAGGACTAGCACACACACACACACACACACACACACACACACACACACACACACACACACACCAGACAATTCTGGGAAATACAATAATATACAAGATAAAGGTACTTTGGCTCAATAGAAATGACTGCTGCTTTTTCTTACTTCCAAGGAGCCTCAGCTCCTAGGTTTCACCATGTCTCAGTAATACCATCAAATTATTCATCAGTACATCAGTGCATTAATCCATTGATTAGGCCAAAGCCCTCATGATGCATTCACCTCCCAGTCATACCACAAGCTGGGGACCAGCCTTCTAACACATGAGTCTTTTGGGAGGTGCCTTCATATCCAAACCATAACAATAGGTAACCACTTAGCAGTGTTAAATACTGAGTTCTTTATGCATCCCAGGCACTGTTATAAACATTGCCAGTGAATACAAGTCTCTACCATTGTGATATTAGCATGAATACAAGTCTCTACCATTGTGATATTAGCATGTGAGAAGGCAGTCAGAAAATGTTTAAACAAATTAACAGTAAATAAACCAATCATAGATTTAAATTAGAAAATGTTAGGCTGGGTGTTGGTAGGTCACATAGTCATAAGGATCAAGAGATTCAAAGTCAGTCCTGGTAGAAAAAGTTCCTGAGACTCCATCTCCAATTAAGCAGCAAAATGCAAGACTAGGGATATGGTTCGAGAGGTAGTGTATCAGCAGATCAAGCATGCCAAGGGAGTGTGCCAGGCCCCTAAGTTCAAGCAGCGTAGATAGATGATAGATAGGCAGGCAGACAGACAGCAGATAGATAGATGATAGGATGATACTGGGAGATAACAAGGACAAGGTTGGAACTTTAAATGGGAGGATGTCTAGCCTTTATTGAGAA